TATCTCTCTCTCTCTCTATCTATCCCACCCGTTAGATCAGGTCAAGCGCGGCAGCGACCTCATAGATCCCTGGCAGCGCGCTGCGACGAAAGCCAAACGCTTTCAACCTCTTGCGATAGTTTCGCGTCCTGGAGTTTTAGGGCTTTTAGGGGTTTAGGGCTTTAGGGAGTCCATTACGGCCGGCACCGAGGCCTAGAATTCACGGACGTTGGATTGTGACGGCGATTGCAGTGATCATGTCTGTGAGACTTCAAGTTCACATCTGACAGGCGCAGTGAGAGAAAGCGGTCGAAATCGCTTCGGCGTAGCAGATACTTGTAGGTCGGGATGAATCCGTGGCAGCGCTCAAATTGCTGGGGTCGGTGTCGCCGGCCGTCGTCGAGTCGCTGTCGGAGCCGGTGAAGTTCCGCGGCCAGCATGATCATGGCGTTGAGTTGGCATTGGGAACATGCAGCACAGCACAGGTGCAGATCGTCGATATCGGCCGGGGCCGATGAAGGAACGCCTGCATCTCTTGATTTATGGATCCCAATGATTGGACCCTTGCAATTCCCTTCAAGGAACCCTTGCAGATCCTACAGAAAGAGCTTGTAAAGATCACTGAGAAGCCCGTCTAGAGCCCGGATAGAAACCTAGGAACCCGCAAGGATCCACGAAAAGAGCCCTTATGCATCTTGTACAGGGAGCCCTTGTATTTCCCTTACAGGATCCCGCGATCGAGCCCTGTAAGAACCCTTACAGTAAGAGAGCCCTTATAGAACCCCAGGCCATAAACCCAAACCCCCTGACCAATGACTTCAAACCCTGAACCCCTAATCCCTCGCTCGAAACGTTAACACCCGTAACCCTCAACTCACAACCCGAACTAAACCCTATACACTTAACCCTAAACTCAAAAGCCTAATTAAACCCTAATCCCTTATAGATTCAAACACTAATTAAACTCTAAGCGCTTACAGGTTCAAACCCAAGTTAAACTCTAAACCCTTACAGGTTCAAACCGTAATTAAGCCCTAAACCCTTGTAGATTCAAACCCTAATAAACCCCTAAACCCTTACAGATTCACACCCAAATTCAACCCTAAGCCCTTATAGATTCAAACCCTAGTTAAACCCTTCAACCCTGATAGGTTCAAACCCTAATTCTACCCTAAACCCTTCAATCCCTAGTTAAACCCGTAACCCTAAACCCTAAACCCTAGACCCTAAACCCTAAAACCTTACAGATTCCCCCGGAAGATCGCTCACCGAGGCCCCTGCATGGCCTGACATTACTTTGAACGTCGGGGCCCGTGATTTTTTTGAAAGTTTAGGGGATCTGTTCAGGGTTCCTTTCAGGGTTCAGGGTTTAGGGTTTATATAAGCTTTGGACATTTTTGGGGTTGAGGGGTCTCGGCTCAGAGTTTGGGGCTTTTGGGGATTTGTTTGCTCGTTCCAGGGGTTGGGGTGCAGGAGTTCTCTGAACATGCCCTCAACCCTAAGCCCCATTTTTTTGGGGGTGCTGGGCTATGTGACCTTGCCGAGTTGGATTGACGCTTTACACAAATAACAAGCAAGAGTATGCTTTTTTTATAGTCCCGACATAGTTTCGGTATAACATACCCATAGGCTCCAAAGTAGTTCCTTTTTTGGGATTCCCTTTAGGATCCCAAATATGAGCCACAAAAAGGAACTACTATGGTGCCTATGGGTACACCAAGACCCTGTTCTAGTCACTAAGGCCTTAAGTACAAATATAATGCCTTGGCCTCTAGTCCGAGTCCGACTGCAGGCCGACAACGTGTAGTACTACTACTACTACTACTACTACTACTACTCATAATACTAACAAGAACTAATGAGAATAAGAATAAGAAAAATAAGAAAATAATACTATATTTAACAAAATAACAATAACAATAATGTAATCAATAATGATATTATTATGATCACATATTTGCGGAGCAAGTTGTGCGTCGAGATTGGTTTTGGTTCTGACTGCGTTTTACTGTTTGGGGATTTGGGGGGTTTGCGCTCAGGGCCGAGGGTTTCAGGGTTTTGGAGGTTTAGGGTTTCGAGTTCAGGGCATCGGGTTCTGTTGTGAAGGAAGTTCTTTTGCCATCGTGGAGATAAAAACGGAACACGCCCCTTACACACCCGTTTCTCTGCAAGAAACCCAGAACCCTAAATTTCTAGATCAAGACCGTCCACGTCCCAAACCCCCAACGCTATAAAGCCGCAAAAGCTTCTGTAAAACCTCAGCTTTAAGTCACGGAGAGAAGGGGACTCAGAAAGCCAAAGGTTAAAAAAAGTTTCTGGGCCATTTGTAGGCAGCGAAAAGAGGTTGGGACGTGTGAGGTTTAGGCGTCAGGAGCTTGAGAGTTTTGAGGAGTTTTTAAGGGTTTTTGGCTTCAAGGTACCTGTTAAGGAGAAGTTTCGGATTCCATCGAGGGGATGTAACAGAAGTTTACATGTCGAAGATCAAGGCATTCTGCACAAATCGAACGCTTTCCATTTTGCATGTTGAACTCGACTGCTGCAACAGTAGTGTACCATAAACCATAAAAGCCCTCTGTGTGTGTATATGTGTAAATAAATAAATATATATATATATATATTTATATATATATATAGATTGGTTGTATATACACATACCCTAAACCCTAAACCGAATATGTGTGTATGTGTGTGTATATATATGCATGTGATGTGTGCGTGTATCTATGTACATACATATATGCAGACAGAAACGCTAAGCTCCAGGATCTCTAGCGCATGGTTTAGTCTTTCTAGGACTTGAGGTTTGGGGTTTAGGCTTTAGGATTTAAGATCTCTAGTTCTTAAACTTCGTGCACAGGCTCCCATGCTTCCTTCAACTTTTCCGAAGTCCTAACAAAATCCTTGCATGAAGCAGCTGCTTCAGCGATCAAGAAGCCAAGATCGTCCAGCGATTGAGCTGGAACGGTTTAGCGCTTTTCAGACGCCAAGATCATTGCAGCAGGCCGAAATCCGAGCCCTCGTTTCTCGCCCCAAATCCTGCATCGAGTGGTAGTATCACCTTACCCCTAGTCCTTATATAGTTGTTGTATAATATTGCCCAAAGCCTATTCTAATTAGTTAACAAGGCCCCTACCCCAGACCCAAGCCTCAGACCCGAGGATCCAAGGATCGCAATCAACAGCCTTCCGACGGCATCGGATTTGCATCCTGGAGCATGGTGACAGCGATGTTTGTAGGAGAGATCGTGGCGTGGCTTGCATTGTCCTTTGGTGGAGCTGTTAGTGGCTTTCTCTGCCTCTTTCTGGGAGCCATCTTTTCGAATGGCATTGGGCAGCTTACTGGCATTGGCTCAGCTGGTGGGGCGCAGGCTTTGAGCATGCTGACAATGATAACCGTACCATGTGGTCTGCTTGTCACCGTCGCAGCCGCGCTAGTCAGCGTGCTGCTCCCGTCTTCTTGGGAGCAGAAGGTGCAGTTCATGCTTTGGGCCAACCTGGGCCTTGCATCCCTATTCTTGCTTTATGCCATGGTGAGCACTTGGCCCGGATTCTATATGCAAGAACGAGGAAGAAGTGGACAAGAACGACTCACTGCCGAAGAGGAAGCCCCTTCGGCTGAGTGAGGGGCAGAGGCACCGACCCAGTCGTCCCTTGCACTCAGACTTGCAGAAAAAGGGAATTTAGAAAGTAGGTTTAAGTAGTCTTACAACCACAGTCCTATAAGTAGGGTCAGCTTCTAGTTCTAACTCATGCAGAAAAACCCTTCGCCAACGCTTTCGGCAATAACCCGTAAACCCGAGCTAGAATCTGCAGATGCATGTGCTATTTTGTGTTACCTCGATCATTCTTTTCAGGATCCTAACAAGTAGGCTATCTCAGAACGTGTTCTACAAGTCATGGTCCCAGTATGCCGGACATCCCTATGCTGTACTCCTCAGCTGCGCATCAGCAGACGAACAGCAGAGTGTTTCTGCGGAGTGGATGCGGAAAAAGTCTTTGGTAGGACATGGTTAAACTAGCTCCCTGACCAATAATTAGTGCTGCCTGTGGGTAGTTCTCTAAATTAGGGTCCCTTTTTAGGTCCCCAATACAGTACGGCACTCTTATATAAGCGACCCTAAAAGGGACCCTAATTTGGAGAACTACCCCTGTAGTTGGCTTTATACACTTGTATGGGGATCCCGGATATCATCCGCTGTAGTGGGGGAAAGACTTCCAGTGCTCTTCGGAGTCTTCGTCTTGTCGGCTTGGCTCCAGAGGACGCTACAAGGACCTATCTGGCTCCAACCTAAAAGCGCAAAGCTCTATTCCCCCCCCAAAAAAATGGTTCACCCCTACATCCCAAAGGAAGATGGGGATCCCTGGGTACAAGATTTACTAACTCCCAAAGATTAGGCTTTAGGGCCAGGGTTTAGGGTGGGGCACTTCCAAAACATGCAACGAAAGTAAGCCCTCAACCCCAGGAGACCGGCCATATTGTCGCAGTCTGAAGAATTAGGGCTTCGGGTTGGCTACAAATTAGTTGGGATCCGGGTGCATTTTATGTTTGGGTCCCAGTAACTCCAGCAAGCCCCAACCAAGGGCCCCGACGTGTGGTGAACCTGTCTGCTCTGCTTGTGCCACTGAAACCCTGGTCCGCTGATGCCCCACTTCAACCATCAGCTTTGGTGGTCTAGGGGTTCAGGGGTTCAGTTTTCTGGGTGTAGGGCTTTAGGGCTCCCATTTTGGGGGGCTTAGGGATGAGGTCTTCGCGGTAGCGCATTTCAGAATTCAGTTCAGGGTTCGGGGTGTCTGCACTGCCGTCGCCATGAGGTCCTCGCCGATGCTCGACAGATGGTCCCGGTCTCAACATGTGATGTGCTATGCATGCTGAAGAGAGTATCTGCATACAGAACCACTCACTCCTCATCAAGTCGTTCTTCCTGTCGGAATATGTCCTTCGTTGCCTTCCTACGAGTTTCCAAGAATAGAGGACCATCAAAAAGATCCGAAGCAGTAGGACCGTCAAGATACCCATAGGCC